AGGAGATGGAAGATGCAAAGAAGAAGGTCGAAGCACTGATGTTCATGGCCGAGCGGAGGGCTGCAGATGCTGATGTTGCTCTGAAGTCTTTAAAGGCTAATTATCAAGGGATGGTGGACGAGGCCGAACAGAGGGGCTATGACGAGGCCAAAAAGACCTATTCGGAGGAGATTTTGAAGCTGAGGGACAAGATCTTTACTAAGGGTTGGACTGGGGCTCTGCGTGCTGCTAAGGTGGAAGAGGCTTCTCCTCTTTATGATATTGATGACATCCCAATCCCTTCGAAGACCGCTGCAAGGGTTAGGATGAGAAGGCCTCGAGGGGATGGAGTTACGGATGTTGATCCTTCTGGCCTTTCTCCTTTCTTGCTGAGCTCTTCCTTAGTTAGACAGACCTCTTCCTTAGTTAGACAGACTGTCAATCCTACAGAGGAGGAACACCGCGAGGATGGACACTGCGAGGAGGAGCAACGCGAGGAGTAAGTTGTTAGGTTGCCTCGAGTTTTTTCTTTTACTTCTGCTTTAGTAGTTTTTTTGTAATGAAACTTGGAAGTTAGTGAAGTATCTTCAACTTTTGCTTCAGTGCTCGGTTGGATAGGCTATAATATAAACCGAGCTCCCTTTTGTAATGAAGTACCTTCTAAATTTGCCAAGTGTTGAACTTGCAACTTGTACTTTTTTATTTGTCTTGAAGTTCGGTCGGCTGGACCTCTTCTTTTGTAAGGCCGAACTCTTTTTTGTAATTGAAGTTTCCCTTCAATGCACTCGTTCTTACATTTTCGCAAGTGTTGAACTGCTTATCTTCAATTTTTGCTTGTATGCAATGTTTGCCCCCGGCCAAGCAGAGGCTCTGTGGCTTAGCAGGCCATCTGTTTGGTCTGATCAGGCTTTGAGCCTTAGAAAAAATTGAGTGAGTTTTTGATGCCCCCAGCCGAGCATGAGCTCTGTGGCTCAGAAGGTTGTCTGTTCAGTCAGACCATGCTTCGTGCCTTAGTAGAGAAAAAATTGGGAAAGTTTTTTATCATGTTGTTTGGCCGCCACCTAACTTGGTCAGGTTTTGGCGTGATTTAACCCCTCATAGAGTGTAATTCTACCCTTCTTCGAGCGTGAATTGTGAGTATGGACCGTGCTTTAAGTAACGATACTTGGCACAAATTCCACCAAGTTATACCACTTGGCACCCCGCTCTAACCAAAGGGTTGAGCATCCGGGATTGGCTTGAGTTAAGACCCGTGGCCAATTTGCTCCACCGAGCATAAATGTACAACACAAGTAAATAAGGACAAACTATAAAACAAATTTTCATTCATTGATACTTGTAACTTTTGATTACATCAAGGCATGTTCTGAGAAATACATTACTGTAAGTATTTCATCCTAAGAATCATATCACTGGAAGTACTTCTTTAGGTTGGCGACGTTCCATGGTCTGGGGATTGCCTTCCCTGATAAGTCAGCCAGATAGTATGCGCCATTGCCAAGTGCTGAAGTAACCTTATAGGGCCCCTTCCAGTTAGCACCGAGTTTCCCTTCTCTAGGAACTTTCTTGTGATCCATTACCTTCCTGAGTACCAAGTCACCTGGTAGGAATTGCCTCGGACGCACATTCTTGTTGAAGCTCTTAGTGAGTTGCTGCTGGTAAGCCGCCAATCAAATGAGGGCAGCTTCCCTACGTTCTTTGGCCATGTCCAGAGCTTGGGCAATGACTTCATCATTGTCTGCCAGCTCAAAGATTTCAGAACGGATGGTAGGAAGGCCAACCTCGAAAGGGATGACTGCTTCCATCCCGTAGGTAAGAGAGTAAGGTGTCTCACCAGTTGACCGACGAGGAGTAGTTCAGTAAGCCCAGAGGACATTCGGTATCTCTTCCACCCATTTACCCTTGGCTTTTTCAAGACGCTTTTTTATCCCGTCAATGATCGTCTTATTGGACGCTTCAGCTTAGCCATTGCCCTGTAGGTAGGCCGGAGTAGAGTTTCGGAACTCTATCTTCAAGTCAGCGCAAAATCTCCTGAAGATCTTGCCATCAAATTGTGTACCGTTGTCAGAGAGAAGGACTCTGGGAATGCCAAATCGAGTCACAACATTGCGCCAAACAAACCTCTTAATGTCTGCCTCTTTGATCTTGCACAAGGCCTCCACCTCCACCCACTTGGTGAAGTAGTCAGTTGCAGCGATGAAGAACCTTTTATTCCCAATTCCCCTAGCTAATGGTCCAACAATGTCTAAGCCCCACTGAGCGAATGGCCAAGGACCGGTGAGGGGGGTTAGAGCTTTGGCTGGCTGGTGAATGAGAGGAGCAAACTTTTGGCACTTGTCGCACTTGCGGACATACTGTTGGGCCTCCTTTTGCATGCGCGGCCACCAATACCCGTGTGTTAGGGCTTGGTGTGCCAAGGACCGACCACCAGTGTGACTCCCACAGATTCCATCATGGATCTCATAAAGCACATCTTCCACTAGACTTGGATGAACACAGAGCAGATAAGGGCCCATGTAGGACTTCTTGTAAAGCTTGCCAGATGGGGAGACCCAAAACCGAGCAGCTCTATGCCTTGTCTTGTGCGCTTCTTTTTTGTCCTCAGAAAGGGTGCCATTCTTCAAGAAGGCCAAGAGTGGGTCCATCCAACTCGGGCCCAAGTCAGTGCAGAGGACCATTTCAGCTAGTTGAATACTTGGTTGGGGTACATATTCCACCCATATTTTGCGGCCGTCTCTGGAGTCGACTGAGGAACCCAGGCAAGCTAAAGCGTCAGCATGACCATTTCCTTCTCGGCCAATCTTCTCGACTCTGATGGCTTTGAACTTTCGGATCAAATTTTTGGCCTATTCTGCATAAGTGGCCATCTGCTTATCGCGAGCCTCGTAAACTCCAGAGAGTTGGTTGACCACTAATTGGGAATCACTAAAGACGAGTAGCTCCTCCGCGTTGAAGTGTTCGGCACTTCGCAGGCCGGCTAGTAGAGCTTCATACTCTGCTTCATTATTAGAAGCTTTCCAGCCCAACCGAATGGCTTGCTCCCATATGAATCCTTCAGGAGAAATAAGGACAACTCCTGCTCCAGAGCCTTTTTGGTTAGAAGAACCGTCTACAAACAGCTTCCATACGTCTCCAACAAAAAGCTTCCATGCTTCGGCTGGGGATTGCCCTTTATGCTGGGGGCAGTCATAGTGACTAAGGTCGAGCTCCCTTCGGAGGGGACAATTGGTCCTGGAGTAAATTCTGTAACAAAGTCTGCCAGGACTTGAGCTTTGATGGCAGTTCGAGGTTGGAACTTGATGTCAAACTCTCCAAGTTTCACCGCCCACTTTGCTATTCAGCTTGAGAAATCAGCTCGACTGAACACTGACTTGAGGGGGAATTCAGTGAGGACGTTGATGGTATGTCCTTGAAAGTAGTGAACAAGCTTCCTAGAGGCAATTAATAGGGCATATGCCAATTTCTCCAATGGCAAGTATCTAGTTTCGGCATCTAAGAGAGTCTTGCTAACATAATATATTGGTTTTTGTTCCTTTCTATCCTCTCTAACCAGCATTGCGCTGACAACATGATCAGAAACAGCCAAGTAAAGGAAGAGCTCTTCATTGGCGACAGGGGTGGATAGAAGATGAGGTGAGGACAAATACTTCTTCAAATTTTCTAGTGCTTCAGAGCACTGGCTCCCTCATTCAAAGTTTGCTTTCTTCCTTAGAAGTTGGAAGAAGGGCTTCATCCGATCAGAGAATCGACTGATGAAACGGTTAAGTGCTGCAGCCATGCTAGCAAGTTTCTGGAGTTCCTTAGCCTATGTTGGCACTTCGAGGTCTTTAAGGGCTTTGATTTGGTCGGGGTTGGCTTCGATGCCCCGCCTAGTCACCATGTACCCCAAGAACTTCCTTGATCTTACTCCGAATGCATATTTTGAGGCGTTCAGTCGAAGCTTGTGAGTTTTCAGAATTTCAAACACTTGCTCAAGGTCCCTTAGATAGTGCTCGGCCAACTTGCTTTTGACGACCATGTCATCAATGTATGCTTCCATGGTTTTACCGAGCTGGTCCTTGAACATTTTGGTGACCATTCGCTGGTAGGTCGCACCAACGTTCTTCAAGCCGAAGGGCATCACTTTGTAGCAGTAAGTAGTGCCTCTAGAACTGATGAAAACCGTTTTCTCTTGGTCAGGACCGAACATGGGGATCTGGTGGTAGCCACTGTAGGCATCTAGAAAGCTCATGCGCTCATGTCCAGCCGTTGCGTCAACAAGTTGATCTATTCGTGGAAGGGGGAAGCTATCCTTGGGGCAAGCTTTGTTAAGGCTAGTGAAATCAATGCAGACTCTCCATTTGCCATTCTTCTTCTTCACCACAACGGTGTTAGACAACCATTTTGGGTACTGCACTTCTCGAATGACTCTGTAAATATTTGATGAAAATGTGCATCCTTTCCCGCTAAGCTCCTCAGGACTGGTATACCACTTCTTCTCTTCCAATGGGTCGCTTGCATAAGTAGACCGCAGTTGGGGTGTAAGCCTACTGTAGTTGCTCTCACTCTTATATTCTCTTCTCAGGTTATGCTCTTTGTTCAATTCATTCCAGGAATCCTTTGGCCCAGCAATACTGACATCAGTATCATGAGCAGTTGCGGTTTTAAAGCTAGATCTTGATGGAAACTGATGCCACTGTCTGATAAAGTTCAGGTTCTCCCCAAACTTTTGCTTCTTTATCCGCTCACTAACAGCAGGATGCATCGCCTGTTCTAATGGCCTTTTCTCATTTCGATCATTTTCTGAGAGGAGACTATCCTGATCTGTAGAATTCTCTGCAGTTTCATGCTGGACATATGATCCAAGGTATATAACCTGATTTGATGGCAACAACTTGAAGCAGGACGGCCGTAAGCCTTGCAAGGCAACTCCTTTAGCGTGAGAGATATCCACAAGACCCATAATTTGCCTAAATGGGAAGGTTATCCTCTTAGACTACTTGTTCAATTATCTGGTAAAACCCACAGGCACATCATTCTAAGTCTGCCAAAGCTAACCTTCCCAAAAAAAAAAAAATCAGGAGTCCTATTGACTGCATAGTTGTAGGGGAAACGTTAACATCCACAGACATCATAACTCAAAAGAAGGCTTCTCAGAGGTGAAAGGTATTAACTTTGATTTAGAGATAGCTTTCCCTGAAAAAGTAAAATGAACAACGTATCTCACAGTTGGACTAGAATAAAAGTTTAAAGACAGTATTACCTTGCTGTCGGGCGTAATGAAGGTTCAAGATGAAGAAGCCAAAGACAGAATCCAACTTCCTTGGGATTCTTCGACAGGAAGTTTGGAGGAAGAATCCTATAATGCAGATCAGACATGGCAGCAGCAAGTTCCCTTTCAGAGTGAAAAGGGCTAAGCAACTGAAAGAGATAACCCATATTAGTCCAAAAATTAATTTGTGTACTCAGTCCCTCCAGAGGAACCAAAAATGGGAGAACAACAACAATTATCACAAAACAATACAAAGTTATTTTTTCTTAATGAATATAAATACGAAATTAGAAGAATCTTCCATATCATCCTCCTTTTCTTCTTCTTCTATTTCTTTTATAAGTAAAATGTATAAAGAGCCAGAGAAAAGCGGAACTTCCCTTATCCACAGTACATATAGGAAAGGAAAACTCTATTATCTACAGGGACACATGAATCCACCAAAAACTCTACAAAGAATATAAGGGAAGTGGAAAATCTTCAGCTATTGTCCCTCATCAACTCAATGCCATGAAGTAATAACATTACCAAAAACAGATCATCCAATGGTTTATGATCCATCTCAACAAAATGAAACAGGAACCAGGAACCAGGATTAATGCCTAGACCTTCTAAGGAACCATTAAGCTGTTGCTATTCATATGGACGATCCATGATTGAGAATGACACGGGGGGTACTTGGGATTTTTGTTCATTGAGAAGTTCCTCTAAAAACTTCTGACTGCACCACTAGTCAAGCCAATATCTATCATTTCAACCATTTTTTATCTAAAGCCCTCCAAAAACTAGCATAGTCCCTAAACATAATGACAATTCAACTAATTGAGCAAAGCATAGAGAATCTGCATATGTTTCTTGGAATATAAAACCCAACACCATTGTATTATCACAATCCAAGCAACAATGCCAATGCTATCCCTTAAATGACTTTCTAAAAGTACAGTACCTCCACAATCCACCATTCAAGGAAGAGTAAATAATGTTCAAGTATACAAAATCCAAATTCCTAATGATACAAAAATAAAAGGATAATAGATGGAATTTTTGTCAAGACCTTGATAACTAGGATTGCTACACATTTCTAGTTCACGATGCTATGGTAAAATTAGATATAGGGGAAAGCAGGATACTGAATAGTGTCGATGGAAATGTATTCATATTCCTAGCTATGCTGAGATTACCATGTTTGAATACCTCACATTTTTTCAGCATAAGAAAGCATTTCTTGTACCTCAAAGAGTAAAACCCCCAGAATGTAGATATTTGATGAAAATGTGCATCCCTTCCCGCTAAGCTCCTCAGGACTGGTATACCACTTCTTCTCTTCCAATGGGTCACTTGCATAAGTAGACCGCAGTTGGGGTGTAAGCCTGCTGTAGTTGCTCTCACTCTTGTATTCTCTTCTCAGGTTGTGCTCTTTGTTCAATTCATTCCAGGAATCCTTTAGCCCAGCAATACTGACATCAGTATCATGACCAGTTGCGGTTTTAAAGCTAGATCTTGATGGAAACTGATGCCACTGTCTGATAAAGTTCAGGTTCTCCCCAAACTTTTGCTTCTTTATCCGCTCACTAACAGCAGGATGCATCGCCTGTTCTAATGGCCTTTTCTCATTTCGATCATTTTCTGAGAGGAAACTATCCTGATCTATAGAATTCTCTGCAGTTTCATGCGGACACATGATCCAAGGTATATAACCTGATTTGATGGCAACAACTTGAAGCAGGACGGCCGTAAGCCTTGCAAGGCAACTCCTTTAGCGTGAGAGATATCCACGAGACCCACAATCTGCCTAAATATATGAAAACTATTGACTTTATTTGCCTTATATTGCCCTGCTTTCAGCCATTCTCTCAGACTGACTCCATCATGAAAAGCATTGAGACTGGGACCCAGCCCAGGCCTGGCAACATCATGAGAAGGAGGCACAACAGTTTTAGTACTTGAACTCAATGGTGCGTTAAAAGCTACCATAGCAGTACTGGAAGCCTTGGAATCCGTCTGGCCCCTAATCACCGCACCAAATCCTTCACGAGCTGGACCTTTAAATATAACCCCCTTACTTTTCAGGGTATTCTTAACAAAATACTCAGAAAACCCAGATTTAGAAAGAATTTTTGTCCTGATACCTCCAGGAGGTGCTAATGGATTGCTTGCAACAGCTTTGCTTTCATTATTCAGTACATGTTCCACGTTATCAATGTGAACATCATCTGGTGGTTTTGGACCCAATAATTCTGGAAAAACTGTGTATCCAACGTCCTCCCAGGCATTCGATATTATAGCATCCCTATTGCTTGAGGTACTCACTATAGCTATGCTTTCATTCTTAAAATTTTGTAGTGTTAACTCTTCAGCCATGACCCCAGCATCATCCACACAATGAATACTAGCACTTGGACGTTCAGACACACAACCTCTGTCTGGGTTCTTGCCCTCTAAAATAGTTGTAAATGAAGGGGAGGAGCCCCCATGACATTCACGCTCACTGGGTATCATCATTTCATGTGATTCCATCATACCAGCATTGTCTGCTTTCCGTGAATACTCACCATCTTTGCTTTGAAGATGTGTGTTATCCACAGCATCAATTGTAGCCAATTCATCACCAACTCCATCCATACTGTCTGAGCAAACTTCATTCAATCATATTCTTGATTGCTGCAAAAATAATTTGCCAGCCAAAAACTGCAGAGCAAGAGTAATCAAAATGGATTATGGTTAATTTTAAAAAATCATACAGTTCAAGAGGAAGATACAGCCATGCCAAATTATACAATTTTCTAAGGGCAGAGCACCCAATCCAGTTCAAAGTTTTAAAAAACATAACACCAACATACAAAGCAATTCACAGTAATGACAAGAAATCAAGAAAGAATGTCAACACATATATGGTGTGTTTACATTCATATAGACAGAGGGAGGGCATTCAAAAATTAAACACATAAATCAAAATTGCCATATTAAAATCTCACAGTAAAGTTATTATTAAACTAACACATTTCAGTGACATCTAACCCTTGCCCACTCTTTAGATACCAAGAAAATTGAGAAAAAGAACAAGAAGCAGAAAAGAGAAAACCTTTTTCACTCAACATCTCATTTTGAAACAATTGCATTACTCAGGTCAGTAAAGCTTTCAATTTTCCCAGTAACCAAACAACAAGTTCTCAAATTCCTTTCTTTCCGACCATTTTACTAGCAAATCAGACGATTCAGCACAACACAATCGAGAGCTTTAACTCAAAACCATCAAATCAAAAATTGAATACTTTTTAATCATTGAATTTCAATCAACATACCTGATTTTGTGCTCTGAAATCGAGGAAATCGATAACGTGGTATTAATTTCAGAAACCTGAAATGAAGAAGAGGACAGAGAGAAGAAAAAATGAGAATGAAAATTTGTGAACCATGAAAAGAAACCCTAGGCCTCACCAATCCAAAGAAGGCAAGTATAAGAGAGAGATACATATATCGTACTTACCTTAAATGGCAATAAGTAGTTGTACTGTCTACTACTCTTTTACTTCCACATTTAAAAAGGTAATTATTGAAGAAAAAAATGTTACGTAAAGAATCCTCTTCTAATCTAATAAATCCACGTAGAAAAGTTGTAACCTAATTGGTTTGATGTGTTTATATTTTTATTTTATGGAATTTTTATTTATTTATATTATTTGTTAATTTATTATACATTTATGTCTATTATTAGTAGGTATTACATAGAAAAAGAATATACACACTTTTTTTTTTTGTTGCTACATTCATTTTGGTAGTTACCATTATTCATGTTTTTCTTTTTTATTAATTTCATTCACATTTATGATATTGTTTCATTGTACTAGGATTTCAAAACTCTCTATTTAATAGAGTTTAGAAACTCTAGTTTACACATGATAGTGAAATAATATTATATTCCTCTATTATTGCGGTGAAATTTTGGGTTCCTCCATTGTCACTTTGTGCTTGAAGCTATGTGTTTGTCTATTGTTGCTCTGTATTCGAAAATTTATGTTCTCCATTGTTGTAAATCGAAATTATGTTTATATCCAATCAATTTTGTTACAAACATATTTTTTAAAGGTGAGTTTGGTTTGATTTGAATTGGTGGAATAGTGAAATTGCATAGATCGTTAATGATAGTGATAATGATAATGATAATGATAAAAATAATGATGAAGATGCAGATGTAGATGATATTTTTTGTTGTTGTTTGATTGGTTGAGATTTTTTTGGATTTCTAATTCTATTACTGCATTGTTTCTATTTTTTGTCCAACAGTGTGAGTATTCACATTACACATTGTTTGAAAGTATGAAAAATAAGTGTTGAAATATAGAGATTGACGTAATTATATATTTTGCAGTATGTGATTGTTCACATATCATTGGTTATTTGCTACTATATTTGTTGTTCGAACAATTATTATTTTTCTTACCATTAAACGATTGAAATAGTCTCTTTTTTTTTCAATTTTGTTTTATGTTACAGTATGAATGTTTACATTGGTATGAGTTTAGTTTTTTTTGTTAGGGAAAATCCGTGATTCCCCACAAGTAAATCAATCAATGGGAATAAAAACTAATGCGGAAAAATTAAATCAAAGGCAACACAAGAATTTTTACGTGGTTCCCTCAATGTGAGGTACGTCCACGGGATCGAAATCCGATTCCACTATCAACCAAATAAGTTTCAAACGATTACAAACGAGACACTAATGGTCTCACAAAACACCCTTAGGTGAATTCCAAATAATCACAAATAAACAAGAGGAAAGACCTCACCAAATAGATGAACCAAATCTTCTGAACCAGAGTTGAAGAAGACCCAAAATAACGAACCAAACACCAACCGAAGATACCCCAAAATTGAGCTTCACAAAAACCGAAATTGAACCAAATATTCCAATCTTCGGCACTGTTACCGAAAAATAACAGTGAGCCGCCACTCACCCTTATTTTGTTTTCAATGTTGTTCTTTTTATCACACGGCACATCACACACTACACAATATATATATATTGTTAATCTAGGGTTTTGTAATCAAGCCCTAATTGTATCCAAATTGAATTGGATCTCTACAAATATAATATATAAAAATATATTATACCTAAACCAAGTCAAATTGAAACTCTTTAACAAATCAATTGGGTCCCACACTCCAATAAGTAGGTATACCCAACATTTTTTAAGGTTAGTTGTATGTTAATTTTAAATTTTGAACATTCACATTATATTTTGATATGATTTTTTTTTTTTTTTGAAGTTTTTTCAAAAATTAATTGTATTTTGTTTTTTATTTTATTTTATTATGCTTGTTGGTTGAACAAATTTTTGCTACCATTGAACAATCAAAATAGTCGATTTTCACTTTTTTCAATTTTTATATATAGGTAAATAAATGTGTCAATTTTTCATGCTAACAAGTGCTAATCAATAGTACATATAAATTAATTATGTAGAGTACAATTAATATTATTTTTTAGAGGAAATTTATGTGGATAAATTGGGCCGAGCTAAGTCCCCTATGTTTTAGATACTTGGACCGAGCTATGGGCCGGGGTTAGAAATATGATAGCCCAATCCTGGGCCATCCAGGCATTTAAGCTAGTTAAAAGTGCTTCCAGGGTCTTGACCGCACTGACTAGAGCCAAGTCCTGGGGTAGACCGAGGTGTTGGCAAAGAAGAAAGCCGAGCTGTGTGTAGTTCGGTATTGGGCCCTCTTATAGTGATGGCTACCGTGACTCTACCCAAAGTAACTCAGAACCAGGAAAGCTCGGTTGATTGTAGTACCAACCGAGGTAAAAGATCTGAGCTAGTTCACTTAGCTTGCAATATTTAGGTTGTTACCATGATAGATATTATCCTTGGGAGTGTGATTCCTAGGAGGACTCTACTAAAGAGAGTTGGAGTCCTGCTAAGATTGTGCTAGGCGAAATTTATAAAAGCTCATAACAGGACCTATGGACAGGTATCATAATTCTTACTCTCAAATACACAAAGTTTTTGTATCTATTGTCTATTGGCTGAGTTAGGCATCGGAGAAGTCTCTGGCACACACCCGTCGGCTAGCTCACGTTTGTATTTTCAAATAGTAAAGCGATAACATTTGGAGGAATGCAAACTTGATCAACAGGATTATACGAGAAGATTATTTCGTGCTCGTACAATTTTCTCTTATTCACTAGATTCAAAATTTGAAGCATCTCCGCTAGATTGCTAATAATGAACCTAGTTGCCTAATCCCTAACTTTGAATTGCCTTGAATGCACGGTTTGTGAAGAGGGATGTGTTGAATGCTGTGATGAGATGAGACACCAGTTGGTGTTTTATAGGGTAATGTGTAATGACCTCAAAATAATATACAAACTAACCATTTATAAGATCTAAAAACATAATAGAAACATTATATTTCATTCATCCGAGTTTGTATCACAAAAGATATTACATGCATTACACTTTCATAAATATTCATCTTGAAACTAGTCACGGCCCAAACCCGCCCCTATGGGTTTAGCACCGTAACTGGCTAGTAATCCGAGATTACCAAAGGTCTGCTTAACAGTCAGACAATAATACAGAGTACAGGGGCATGGCGAAAGCCAAAACAGTAAATAAGCAGTGTCTAATGAGCTGTGACAGTCTGTATGCAAAAAGATTTTTTATGCGTATATACATGAACAATACAGAACAGTATGTACAACATTTACAGTCGATCAGAACAGGGACCTAATCCCTGTTAAACAGTACAGTACAGTGCTATTAGTCTATACAACATTACAAAACAGATACAGAGATAGACGGGGGAAATTAAAACACCCCTAAGCCATAGCTTGGCAGGCTCGGAACCTCGCAGTGAGGCACAGTGGTTGGCTTGACAAAAAGGGAGTCTAACCCACGCTTCTAGCTCCGGTCTGGTGCCTGTACACCTACATATATATATAAACAGTGAGCTAAAGCCCAGTGAATAACATAATGCATAAAGAGGTTAAGAATGAATATCCTTACAGTATTGAAAACAATCATTTCAATCAGTATATCAGTTATTCAGTCATTACAGTCATATGTGGTACATCCATTAGCGTAGCAGTACAGTAAACAGTAGGTCTTAAGAGACCGAGCAGTCAATGATGGCCATCATAACAGTAAACAGAAGTTCTAAGATAGGAACTGACAGAGATCTCTGTAACAATAGCAGTAACAGTAAACAGTAGTTGCTATGGATGCCACAATACAGTTCTGAATAGAGAACATACATTCGTTCAGTTACTAAATTTCACAATTTCAACATTACGAAACCTCATATACAAAGCCTCAAAGTTATTTTATAGGCTAACATGAAGTCCCTTCTTTTAATTTGGAACACAACCCAAACTTCACCCAAATCACACCTAAATCCCCTCATACATTCAAAATGACAAATACCTAGGTTAATCATCATAACAAGGTGTAGAATATCCCTACCTCACGAGTAGAAGCTCAAAGGAGATAATGAAGAGCTTAAAAAATGCCCTAAATTCAGTTTTGCTCGGATCAAAGAAAAGCCCTTGAGATGCTCCAACACTTTAACAAAGAGACTAGGGTTGAGAGATGCTTAGATCTAGGGTTATTTGTAGAAAGAGAGAGTATCTTAGAGAGAGATGGAGCTGTGTTAGGGTTTTGAGTGAAAAAGAGACCAAAAAATGATATAAAATATTGCTGCTGCGAACTGATATACGCGATCCTCGCTAGAGCGAAGGAGTCGTCGCTCGAGCGACCAGACACAACAGTGACCTCGCTCAAGCACAAGAAGAGTCGCTCGAGCGTAGAATGCAAAGCTTTAGGTCTGCCACAAACGCAAATGCACACTCGAGCGCAAGAAGCCTCGCTCTAGCGTAGGAACAACTAACACAAGCTCGCTCAAGCGCAAGAAGTCTCACTCGAGCGAAGAACTCTCTCCTTTCCAAAAAAGCTGCGTCTGGAAGGAAACCTAAGAACTCTCAATTCTCGCTCAAGCGCAAGATTCCTCGCTCGAGCGAAGAAGCAGATTACATAAGGCTCGCTCGAGCGTAAGAAGCCTCGCTCGAGTGAAGAAACCAAAATCTGGGCAACAACATTCTAGACCAACTAACAACCAACCTATTCCAAACTTACCCAACAAGTCCCAAAACTCAATTTCAAAGAACTAAAGGAAGGAAACCAGACATAAACAACAACATACAATTACGGAATCCGAGTCCGGAACACAACAAAGGTCGGGGTAAAACCGGGATCGCTATAACATGGAAGATGTATCTCCACGAGCCCCATTCTATAAACGACTTCTCCTTTCACTGAGCACCATTCAATCCCTTTCTACTAATTTGTTTTCAATTTTTACATTCATCGCACACAGGAGTCTCTTTTCGAGAAAAGACTCATTTGAGCGAATTTAAGCTAAACAAATTTAGTGGACGAATGATTAATCTTTTGCAAATTAC